TTAGGGGGTTGACAGGCCAACCTTTGGTTGGGGGAGGTGGTAGAATCAACAATTGTTAACAATGATTTTGCCCCAACACCCAGTTACATTGCTTTTTCTATTTTGTCTTCATGTTTTTATCGATTATGACAGTTTGATTTAAAGCCGACATCCATACGCACATGGAATATTATTTACCGACAATTACAGAAGGTATAAACATTGTCGGATTTCACTGATCATGCTGAATAAACCGGTTCTTTTAAATTACCAGCCTTATTTCAAAAAAGAAATCGGAACGAAATAAAACGAAAATCAAAACTGCTATATACTTGCCCATGAGTCAGGATCACATGTTACAGCGACGAATTTCAAAACGCTACCTGTATAGGCCTGCCTACCTCGCGAAAACGAAAGAAAAATAAAAACAGGTTGTTTTCATTCCGGCTTGTGATATCTTTTATTTCACAATGTTAAGAATAACAGAAACTTTGTGAGGGTGGTGCACACGACTTACACCTTTCTATTATCTCGCCTTGAACCAGTAAAGGTGAGAAAGTTATGATAACCTTCCTTCACCAGTGAAAAATCGCTATTTTGGTCAGATTTCCGTTTCTCTATTGGTTATTTTATTTTGAAACGAAATTGTGTTTGTGTTTTTCGAACAGCTGTTTTTACAAGTTTTCAAACACCGTAGACTGCATCGTGACATTTTTTTCTTTAAATGCATTTGTGAAACGACCCTCAATTTGTGTCTAGTACATTGTATATGTCCAAATATGATTTCAATTTCAAAGAAGGACGGGTATGAATGTCACTTCCAATATAGGCGATTCAGAAAATACAGTTATCATAATTCTTTTTTCCCTTTTTCGCCCCACCCCTCCTCTGTCTTGATGCTTTGAGAGGGGTTGGATTGTCCGGGCGTTCATTTATTTATTGCAAATTATCCTTTGCCTCGCGATCCATGCAAACTTCATTTTCTTTGGAGTTAAATCTATAAACTTCTATAATATTGCACGAAGAGAAATTATTATGTTTGCATTTCATTTTTTTCTGTGGAATAAATGGTATCACCCTAGCTTCCCTTCTGTTTACGAACGTACATAAATGCAGTTAAGGTTTTAATGATAAAGATAATACAGACCTGTTTTAGTGGGTACCTCTCATTAAGGATCACCTGTCTATAGTGGTCGCTTGTATTATGTCTCTTTTCAGGAGGAAATATGTGTTGAAGAGCCAGGAAGGCCACCTGTCTACGGTGGCCGCTTTTGGGGGTTTCCCTTGGGTGGCCCTAATATACAGGTTTGACTGTACACGTGATGGACATAACACTGAGACATTCGGAACATAGCCAACATTTATAAATGTGTTGAATCCAGAGTTGACGCCCCTCTTCAAACTTAGCAAATACAACTTGGGTGAAGGAGGAGGTCTTAGTTCTCTGAAATGACATAAAGTGAGATCGATGAAGATAAATTTGTGGGAACATTTTTTCATAAACCTTTTATATGCTTTCCATGCTGCTCGCACAACTATTGTTCATAATGGTTTAATAGTCAATGCTTTTTGTAATGTGTGTTTAGAATAAACAAAGGAAAACATGATTTCAAGTGTTAAACCCAAGTGGATCAATAGGGGAGGGGCAAGTACTCTCTTTAAATGGAAAAAGAAGAAGATAATTTGCAAAGTGCATAACACTAGCCAGATACCCCCCTCCTCCTACTTTCGAGTGATCCTGAATCCGCCTTTGAAGTCTGTCCATCGAAATCACAGGGGTGTATAAAGCTTTAAGACTACAGCCAGCTTACAAACGCCCCCTGGAAAAATAACCTAAAAATACGTCAATAACAGTTTTAGTTTTCAATTCATGGTTGAAATTGTTTATACATTTAGCCTATTCTACTTCGCCCTATCAAAATTAAACCGAAACAAAAATTTAAAACTCAACTCAACTCGACTTAACTAAACTTAAACAAACTTAACAAAACTGAACTGAAATAAAACAAACAATAGGATGAGGAAAAAAAACATTAACAAAAACAAATCTGATTGTTTTTGTGCCCCTTTTGATAGGAACCGGGATAGGAACTTTGGGAAACTTTGGGAAACAGTCGAATAAGGCTGTTTTTGTGGGGGGTGGGGGGGGGGGGGGTACAAATTTATGACTATTTAGAAAGCTGAATGATTTTATTGACTACTTTTAAAGAATGCCGGAGACCTTAAAAACAACTATGTTAATGGCAATAAGTGTATCAAATTCGATAAGATGTCAATTAATGCAGACGCTGGACCGTAACACTAAAGTTGATGAAAAAGTCATGTTCTTTCTTCTTTTTAAATCTGCTATATTGTTATTTAGATGTAGATGAAATGCTCTTTTTTATGAAAGTAATGACAATAATAGTAATACTATTAATAATGATAAGAATACTAATAATAATCTTAATAATAATATACAAATGATAATGATAAAAACAAAACTGACAGGACTGTTAATTTGCTCCACATCCTTGGGATAGGATAACTATATCATTAAGGTATTCTAAAGAAGAAAAGAAAATAGCAAGAATAATTCTGATGAGTTTTTTTTCTCAAAAAACACTCCTAATTGTGAAACAAAAAATTAACAGCGACTGAATGACAGGCTATTTTAAACCTGTCATAAGTTTCATCAAAACTAGAAGACAGACAATTATATCATTAATTAACCATTCGGACTAATTGAAGAAAAAAAAAACTCTTATTAATATGTTTCCTAAAATATGAGCGTTCATGAAACTGCTAAGAAAAATAAAATACAACGACTGAACGACAGGCCATTCTGATCCTATCGTACATTTCATCAACCCTAGGAAGAAGAAAAAAGGGGTGAAAAAATGGTAAAACGACGACAGTGGACCCTGAAGGGGTGAAGTCTTATTGTTAATCTTCAGACCATAGTTACCTCCACAAAGTGAGGAATTTGGACTATTGTTATGGAGCTACTCGGCGCGTGGGTCGGGACAGGTGGCTTGCGTAGTAGTAGTTTAGCATTCAGGAAATCCAGGCTTCTGATTGGCTGAAAGGTTTACTTTGCGTACAGCTGCTAGCTGCCATGCATACTTAGGTATCGGGGCAGACAATGTCGTTGGGCAGGGGCGGCGAATTTTACTCGTTTTATGCAAAGTTTTTTCCTTTTCCTTCAATTTTTGTAAGTTTATATTGCATTGTGCATTTCAAAAAGCAGCTTATGAAATAAACTGAAATGCTTACATAATGCTTAATGTTATTTCATGTTTGCAAAGTATAATGTATTATGAAATTTTAACGTTGAACATGAAATTCGTAGAAAAGGAAGATGTGTCAATACAAAATTTCGAAATTGACATTCTGACAATGACTGAAGGACCTATACAACATTCTTTTTAAATAAATCTTTGGGTAGAAAGATAATAACAACTTTTGCACTGTTGCTGGTCTTAGAAGAAACCCGAAACCTTAGCAGTATTATTTTGAAAATCGTGATTCATTAGAAGCCTGAAGTTACGATGCAATCTTATTCTGGAAAAGATGACGGGATTTTAAATTAAATTTGCCCCAACAACTCGACAAACGAAACCTAAACGGCAGACTGATAACTATGTATTGGTCGTTCAAAGTGGAATCAAGCTGATACTCGCTGTTTTTGTATTGTGTTCCTTGTTCATGTTGCAACTAGTAAGGTTTTCATCTCTAGTAATACGGGTATTCTCATTTTCTAAATTTCGCAGTACTATGTAATTTATTTGTTTTCTCTCTATTTATTTCCCCTTTTAGAGTCATCTGGCCTAGCTGAAATGAGCTGAAATGTGTCTGAAAATGAATGAAATCCGAGGCTTGGAGGGAATGTTTCATCAAATAAAATGACTTTCGATCTGACCGGTCTTCGCAAGTTAAAATTTGATCGATTTTAAGATCAATTTTAAGTCTTGATTGATGAAAACACCACTCAAAGGGGGCGTGGATGGTATAGGGACGATAGTTGCCCTGTGCTGATCTAATCCTTTAACTGAGAGGGGCACACTTACATCCAGGTAACCCAACAAGCAATGAAAGAGACTTTGGACAGATGTAAATCAAGGAAAAGAAGAAAAAACCCGGGGAGGGTTGAGGAATAGGAAAATAGGAAAAAAAGAACTGCCGCAATCACTTCCAAAAAGGTGTTTGTACTAGCCCCCAGATACCTGACAGAGAGAGAGAGAGAGAGAGAGAGAGAGAGAGATGAAGGAAAACTGAAGTACGATGAAGAATAATAAAGTTGACCCAGACATAAGTGATTTTATATCACCTTACCTCGTAATGATTTCTTTTATGTTGAAAAGGTGAATTGGCGGTCAGAAAGGGGTTCGACTTTGCACCTCCAGTTTGGTCAGCTTGTAGGTGGAGGTTCAATATTATTTTTCATACCCCTTTCTTTCTTTTTTTTATCAACTCCATCAAAAGATTGTTTTGCTGGAGGTCCATTGAAAAGTATATTACACTATAAAAGGGTCAATATTTTCATAAAAATTGGATCAATCAGGCACTCGGAAATTAAGACGAATTTGGCCTTCTTTGTACGTGGTATGGACAAAGATAACATTGACGGTATCACTTTTCTTCAAGTGGTAATTTGAAAAGAGAGTATAGATAACGGAATATGGACCAACACGCTCTGGCCCGAGTGGATTAACCTAAAATCAGTCAAAATTGATTTCTTTATTGGTGAGGGATAGAAATGAAGTATAATGAGAGGGAGAGGGTGAGGTCAAACTCACCAAGAAATCTGGTTAGCAGGAATGGGAGGTATTAATGGAGTAAGGGACGATGGGGAGGTGGTGATGGTGGACGTATGGGGTAGAAGAAGGTGGTTCATGGATGTCAAATTATGGTATAGCCTATATGGTTAGTAGAAAGTGGTAAATGTTTGGTAGAAAGTGGTAGATGGGTGTTAGGTGTAGGAAGACTGTGATAGAAGGCTGTTGGGTGAAGAGAGAGGGGTGGTAGACAGAGATAGAAATCTAGGAGATGGTGGTGGATGTGTGGTAGATGTTGGTGGATAAGTGGTATATTGTAGTGAATGGGTGGTAGATGGTAGTGAATGGGTGGTAGAAGATGGTGGATGAGTATATGGTGGTGGATGAGTGGTAGATGGTGATGGATGAGTGGTGGATGGTGGTGGATGAGTATATGGTGGTGGATGAGTATATGGTGGTTGATGGGTGGTAGATGTTGGTGGATAAGTGATAGATGGTGGTGAATGGGTGGTAGATGATGGTGGATGAATTATGGTTGTGGATGAGTGGTAGATGGTGATGGATGGGTGGTGGATGAGTGATAAATTGGTGGATGGTGGTAGATGGGTGGTGGATGGGTGGTAGATGGTGGTGAATGGGTGGTAGATGATGGTGGATGAGTATATGGTGGTTGATGGGTGGTAGATGTTGGTGGATAAGTGATAGATGGTGGTGAATGGGTGGTAGATGATGGTGGATGAGTATATGGTTGTGGATGAGTGGTAGATGGTGATGGATGGGTGGTGGATGAGTGATAAATTGGTGGATGGTGGTAGATGGGTGGTGGATGGGTGGTAGATGGTGGTGGATGGGTGGTAGATGTTGGTGGATAAGTGGTAGATGGTGTTGAATGGTTGGTAGATGATGGTGGATGAGTGGTAGATGGTGGTGGATGGTGGTAGATGGGTGGTGGATGAGTGTTGATGATGGTGGATGAGTAGATGGTGGTGGATGGTGGTAGATGATGGTGGATGAGTAGATGGTGGTGGATGGGTGGTAGATGATGGTGGATAAGTGGTAGATGGTGGTGAATGGGTGGTAGATGCTGGTGGATGAGAAGATGTTGGTGGATGGATGGTAGATGGTGGTGGATGGTGGTAGATGGGTGGTGGATGAGTGGTAGATGATGGTAGATGGTGGTGGATGGGTGGTAGATGATGGTGGATGAGTGGTAGATGGTATTGGATGGGTGGTACCTGATGGTGGAAGGTTTTTAGGGTGTTAGGTGGTTTGTATGGTGGTAGATGGTGATGGATGGTTTTGAATGCTGTGTTAAGGGTGAAAATAGAATCGTGCATGGCAGAGCTGGAAATACTTTTGAAGCATGGCAGGGGAATAGAAGATGAGTGAAATCGGGGTAGATGGGTGGTGGCCAATAGTTGTAGGCGTATTCATTTTAAGTCGACATGTTATCGAGCGAAAACGAATTTGAAAGAGAGCCAAGAATATACCTCCAAAAATGCGTGCGGTTGTTTTGGGGCAGTGGGTGTGGCATTTGTCGTTTCAACGTGAATGTGGATCGAATTATTGGGGATGTTTGATGAGTGAAACATATAGTCTTTAATAACATTCATGATGATTGCATCACCTAATTTAGGTCCTATTTTCAATTGTCATTAATGTAGCATAAACATATATCGTTAGCAAAGACTCGGCTCCATTTTGAAGGTAGAATGCCAAACTATTTTTTTCACAGGGAAAAACTAGACAGCGTAGTTGTAGCAGCGTAAAATTGATCATTTATCTCAAAATATAGGATAGTTATTAGTGGCTCAAAATAATGTGAATGAAATCTGCACTAAGTGATACGCGAGATAAGAATGGGGACACGAGGGGACCTGTGAGGTCTTTGGTTAGTTGTTGATATGTCGGATAAACTTAACACAACATTCTAGAGGCACCCTCCGTGGAATTATTCTCAGAAATGGGTCACCGATTTGCCCCCAATTTCTCCGTTCGCCAAATATTTAGGGGCGTGACCATTAACTAAGACTTTTGACCAGTGACGGACCCGGCACGAGGGGGTTGTTTACATATTAGTTAATCTGCCCCCTTCCCCCTCCGCCCTACTTCTTACCCCCATTTGTGATGATAGTGTAAACATGGTGGTGTTAATATAAGGGAAGTGGTCCTGGGACCAAGTAGGGCAGGTCATTTATTGGAATGGGGGCAAATAATGACCCCCTCCTCAAGTACGGTATATGAAAGCGTTTGAATAAACTTGCGAAGTTTGCGAAATACTAAGACTTGTCTTGTTCTAGCGCAACCATCAGATAAGACATAAATAATAGACTTTGTCTTCCACGCCATTCCTCTAAAACGCCCCTCTCCTATCACTCTCCCTGTGGTATAGGCACTGTATATCTCGCCGTCTGTCTCTGTCTCTCCGAACCCTCCCCCTCCCCCTCCTCCTCCTCCTCTTCCACCACCTCTCTCGATTTCTATCCTTTTGTCAATTATCTGTGCATCTATGACTGTCTGTGTCTCTGTTTATCTCTCTAGATTCTATATCCTTTTCTCCACCCCACCCCTCTCCCCCCCCCCCCCCTCTCTCTCTCTCTCTTTTTATTCTCTCTCTCTCTCTCTCTCTCTTTCTCCGTCTCTCTGTCGGATTGTCAGTGCATCTTCTGTCTCTCTGTCTTAAAGTGACAATGTCCTGCCTTTGTACCCACTCTCATATTTCCCAATCTTCAATTTCATCTCGCCATAACTTATTACCGATGTTAGTCAGCCCTTTCTCAAAGTAAAACCTACAACCACTTTCCACCCTTCCAAGTCTATTCCGTTCTCCCCCATTCTCTCCACCCATCTCTCTCCGACCTTCCCTTTCCACCCGACTTCGATCTGTCCTCGTACCTTTCACCTCGAATCGAAATCCTCTCTCTAAATCCCCCTCAACCGTCGGCGACCTCGATGGCCATGACGGCGAAGCCGCTGCGAGAGGTTTACCGAGCTGTCTGCTTACTGACGACCCCCCATGCCAGGTGGTCGCGCGCCCGGCCGAGCCCCGCGGGGAATCAGCCAGCACGCGCCTCACACTTTCATTGAAAATCCCTTGCCCCTCAGGGGTCGAAAAATATTATTTTCAAGAAGAAAAACAGGTAAATCTGCCAAAATTAGGTCCGGTCACCCCTTATTCCTTGATCCAGGGTGGGTTGTCGGGTAAGGATAGGTGAGATCCATGACATTTTAATCAATCATCTTCCATCTTTCTCCCCCAAAGTGAAGGCCCTACTTTAAGAGCGCTCTGAGATATTTGGGAAGCTTATTTGGTACTTTTAGGACCCCCACCCCTGTCTATATATTTCGCTGAACTTGACGATTCTGTTCCTTGTCTCTTATTCAAGTTTAGTATTATATTGGATGTTCTTTTGGCTTTTTCACCTAGCCCCCTCCCCCTCTTTTCGACCCATCTCTTTAATATTTTTCTCTCTGTGTTATTTTGTATGTCCTTCTGTCTGTCTCTCTCTCTCTCTATCTCTCTCTCTCTCTCTATCTCTCTCTCTCTCCGTCTCTCTGTCTCTCTCTGTCTCTCTCTCTCTCTCTTTATCTCTATTTCTGTGTCTCTCTCTCCGTCTCTATATATATATATATATCTCTCTCTCTCTCTAACATTATGATTTCCTCCGTATCAACTCTTCCTCCTCCTATAGTATTACGTCTTCCTCACACCCTTCTCCCTCCCAAATGTTTTCCATCCTTGATCTACTTCACTCCACTCCACATCTTCCTATTTCTCAAAAGTTAACTGCCAACTCACCACAAGAGCGTTAAAATCTTATTCCATTCATATTTCTCATTACTATCAGTAGCCTATATTTCAATCAATGCGACCAGTATGAATAAAGGGTAATAATCATAGAAGGTCTGTTTTGAAACGAACATTTTATTGGTCACTGGTAACTTTCTGGTCCTAATATCGAAACCGTACTAAACTATTAGTCCACCCCTCCCCCACCCCCACCACCACCACCACCACCACTCACTACTAAAACCACCACCACTTGCTCGTGCAGAATTGAGAAGATATAGGCCCTAATCGTTGATGATGAGAGAAAGGTGGGCTCGCGAGAGGGAGGATGGACCTCAATTGTCATTGCAAATAGTAGGAAAACATCAATAATTCCTTGACTTTGGTCTTGAGTTTGGGGTCTTGAGAGACCGGGCATCATTATCTCCCTGGCAGATGGGAGCGATTTACCGAATTACAGTCAATCACAAAGCCCCATCAAACACCCACCCCAAACCCAAAGCACCGATCAAAGAAAAAGGGCGAGGTCACAGGTCAAAGTTGAAGCCAGCCAACCAAGAGAGAGAGAAAGAGAGAGAGAGAGAGAGAGAGAGAGAAAGAGAGAAAGAGAGAGAGAGAGAGCGCGTTTACTTCCTAAATCTTTTTCTGTTCTTCGACAGTAGTGGCACGCGCGCGCTTTTTTTAAAGGGAAAGGGGAAAAAAGAGCGCATGTAGATTGAAGAATTGGTATCATTACCATGATTACTAGAAGATTAGAGAGAGCTAGAGAGTGGGAGAGAGAGGGAGGAAGGGCAGAGAGAGAGACAGAGATAAAGGGTTGGTCGGAAAATAAAAATAAAAACTTTTCAAAGTGGAAGGGGCAGAAAAAGAGAAAAGCAGAATGTATGGAGATTGAGAAAAAGGCATGATTACTGGAAGATGGGAGAGAGAGCGAGAGAGGGAGAGAGAACGTGACGGGGGTAGTGCCAGTAGATGGAAACTTTCGTAACTAACAGGGGCATGAAATAAAGAAGAAAAAAAAATCTTTCACAAAAAAAGCCCGAACAATCGTCCGGAAATCGGGAGAGAAGGGGGAAACCGAATGGCTTCAAAATTAATGTACTGGACTTTTCTTTGCCAACATCTGCAAGCTATTCATACCTGCTATAATATGTCCTTCCAACCCAAATTCGTTGCATTGATCTTATCACGTTTTATGAGGAGAATAGAACAATAGCCAAGTATTTTCATAAATGTAAATGGTAGAAAACAATTATCCCCATCACCATTCCAATAGTATTGTCAAGTTTCCTAACATGGTCTACTACGCAACCGTGCAAACTTCTTTGTCCGCCTATTTACAAACCTGTCACAGTTCTATAAGCAATTCTTTCTCCTAAATTACAACAGAAAGAAAGTCGTCTTGTTCTAATTACGGCAATGTCTCCATTACCCGACCTTGTAAGGCGGTGACTGCCACATTTGGAACGTGTTTAGAACTGTTTTATTCCAAACCCATTCTTTGTATCTTTTTTTATGATTTTGTCTTTTTCTTCAGACGACTGGCGAACAGGTTGTTGTACTCCTTGCGACAGGGCACGCCCCATTGGACACGGCACGCGCGGGAGAGAGGATGAGAGAGATAGAGAGAGATAGGGAGAGACAGGTGGTCGCGTGTAGATTTCTTCCGCCGGGACACCGCGGTGAAATCATGTCCCGAGCGAGAGACAAAAATATGTAGGCACTAAACTTTCTTGTGATCTCTTTCTCAATCTTCTTTATTAAAACGATATCCATTCCATTTTTAAAAGTTCGAATGACCGTGATGGTAATCATTACCACTTGTTGTTTGCAACCTCACTTGTGTACAAGAACTACTAATTGAATATTGAAGGAGAAAAGCAACGGAAACGAGTCTCTTTCTTCCTAATTTCCGTTCTTCAAATTTGTTCAGTCCATCGAAAAAGGGACATTGTTTATATTGTGCCTGAAATTGACCAGACACACGAACAGGTGGCTGGTAGTAATGATCAAATCACGTGACATTCGTCTCTATACACCTGTAATCTACCTCGCTAATTGACATGATTGGAATCTGCGGTCGCGGGGTCCTCGCGTGCCAATTGTCAAAGGTATTCTCGTCCTTAGAAGTTGCAGTCGTCCCTTTGATTGAGTCTTCAAAATTAGAACCAATGTACGACAAAACAACTTATTTCAAAGGTTTTTTTCTTTTTTCCCTCGAATCATGGTGAAGTTCATAAGCGATACTATCTTTTTTGAAAAATTCTTCCACGAAGTCGACCGGGTTTCCATTCGAAACGTGATGTATAATGATTAGGGCTTGTTGTGTTGTTATCTGTTTTTTTATATAAAATTAATGTTCCGGTTCTTTCTATTTCTAGTCGCCACCAATGTACTTCTATCCGTTTCTATTCATCTTTCATCAGTCTCAAAAGCACATTCATTCATTCATCATTCTTTCTTTGAATTCTGTCTTCATTTCTTTCATTCATTCATTCATCAGTATTTCCCGAACATCATCAGCTGAACGCTAGAATAAATCTTTTCATTCTTTTTCTGTTCTTTCAGCACTTAATCTACTTTTCAAATCATTTCTTTTCTTTCTCTTCACCGCCATGAATGCGCGAGATCTATCCGTCTGTCGTCGCGTGCCATCGGGGCGTGTCGCCGGGTTTCCGGAGAGCTGGTCGCTGAACAGTCTCGCTCGCGCTCTCTGCCATGCACAGAATCGCTCGTACGTACGTCAAAGGATATTGGTACGGTCTAGCCTAAAATCTACCTCCTAATTCTATAAATACATCAATAAATACTATTCAAAGCTTTGCTCGAACTTACTTCACCATATTCTTTTCAAATTCATTGATTCACAGATGATTTATCACCGCGCGACCTTGGTATTTGTTTTCGTTCACCTTATACTCGAACGGTTTTCAGTGAATAGAAAAATTACCAATACTATATAGATCCAACATTAGCGTGATTAGGTAAGGTCTGTTTGCTCCATATTCAACTCTACTCGTGTAGAATCACCTTTTGTAAAACGAGACTAAAGTCTAAAGAAAAGGCGATCGCAAAAAGTACAGTTGATACACTGATTTTAATCATTGATTTTTCTATGCGTGACAAAGTACATCCGATTTCGTCTTTGAAACAAGTTCCACCATTTATCGGTTGGTTATTCCGAAGAATAAAAAATGAACAACGCAGTTGGGGATAAAGCAAATATTTCAAAAACGACCGGGATAAGATGAAAGGTTATATGAACGTGAAGGCATGGTAGGGAAAAAGAGGAGAGTTAAAGAGAAGAAGTTCGACAAAACACCTGACGGGGGCCTGTACTGCAATTGAAAAAGCGGATATTTAAACGACTTTGATAAAGCCTATGATAAGAGAGAACATGAAATGATAATGATGACATTGATAGCAATGATCACAATAATGACATCAATATGAGAAAAACAGAAATTGATGATATTTTTGTACACGACAAACTGGAGAGTTATCCGGGACTACGTCACAATTTTAAGTCACTGACCAAAATGCCAATTTGAGATTCGCTTAGACTCTGTGATCTCACATTTCAAACACTCACAACTTTCTTTGTATTGGTTCGAATCACTTCAAAACTTTCGCCATTCTGTTTATCTTATTTTTCTGCTTTTCATACAAATACACTTATAACGAAGGTTGGATTTCCCTTTATGGTTTCAATGATTAAAGAGCCACAACCTACCAGCAAGTAACATCAGCGTTGCGACAGTCTCTAACCATGGACCTATTACCAAACTCTAGACGTTCTAAAAGTTTTCCGAACTTCTGATAACTATGAAAGTTGACATGAACTTTCCTCTTTAGGTGTTCGCCTACAAAACGAGCTTAAAAGCCTAACCACCAGTGCGGCGGAAAGGCATGAGCCGGCTATGTATATACATTAAAAAAAGGAATATTGTGTCGAAAAGACTCCATGGTGTTGTATTGTTCAGTGGTTTTGGAACATTTCTATACCTCGCCTGCAGGGAGCTAGAAAATCAAACCCAGCAGGAACAAGCACACGCTGTGGCCCTTCTTTTCATCGCGAAAGTGCACGAGACAACATAAAGTCATGCACTTTGCTTGAATTAGAGGATTATATTAGGCAACTTTTTTTTGTGACAAAGCGATTTCTCAAAT